AAGAGAAAAATCCAGATCCTAGTGAGAAGGCATATCCTGATGTACTCTTCATGTCATCTATTGATCCTGCCCAATCACTGTCGGTATAGCCAATCATCCTTGATTTGGTCATAGTTTTATACCATACACCAAACTCCCTTGTCCCTTGTAGGTATCTCAATATTCTTTTTCCTGTTCCATAGTGAATTTGACTTGGCTTTTGCATGAATCTTGATAAAAGACTTGTGGCATACATAATGTCTGGTCTTGTGGCTGTGAGATATAGAAGACTTTCGACTAGACTCCTATATCGGGATGCATCAGCTTCTGGTGCTCCATCCACCTTTTGTAGTTTCTCATTCGTCACTAGCGGTGTACTTATAGGTTTGCATCCGTACATATTAAATTTCTTTAGTAAAGCTTCTGTATATTTCTTTTGTGAGATGAATATTCCATCATTTCTCTGACTTACCTCTATACCGAGGAAGTAACTCATCAAGCCAAGATCAGTCATCTCAAAGGTCTTCATCATGTCTTCTTTAAACTCCATCATCATATTTGTATTGGTTCCAGTAAAAATAAGATCATCTACATACAGAGAGAGTAAGAGAGTATGTTGACCTTGAGTCTTGATGTATAGTGTAGGCTCACTCTTACTCCTCCTGAATCCATGATCAGTGAAGTACTGGTCGATCTTGCTATACCATGCTCGAGAGCTTGCTTCAGGCCATATAAAGCTTTCTTCAATCTCAACACTTTGCCTTCATGGCCTTTCATCACAAATCCTGGTGGTTTCTCCACATAGATCTCTTCTTCGAGTACGCCATTGAGGAATGCAGACTTGACATCCAATTGATAGATGTTCCATCCTTTATGTGCTGCAAGAGCTATTAAAGCTCTTATTGTGTCTAGGCGTGCGACTGGAGCAAATGTCTCATTGTAGTCCACTCCTGGTTGTTGTGAGTAGCCCTTAACGACCAATCTTGCTTTGTGCTTTTGTATAGTTCCATCAAGATTAAGCTTTGTTTTATATACCCATTTTACTCCAATGATATCTTTTCCATGAGGGCAATCTACGAGCTACCATGTATTATTCTTCTCAATCATTTTAATCTCTTCTTCCACAGCCTTGACCCATACTTCTTGGTTTGTTGCCTCTTCAAAGCTTCCTGGTTCAAGTATGGCCAAGTTGCAGGTTTCATATATATCTACTAGTGATCTAACTCGTCTTGGAGTAAACTCAGGTGATGGTTCTTCTTGTTGTGGAACTATTCTTGGAGATTCTGGAGAGATAAAAATGTCTTGATTGTTGTCTTCCAGACTTGATGTAGTTGGTTGACTCATGGGCATGTATAAAGTCTTCTTCTCAATTCGTTCTTCTTCCCAGTTCCAAGTAGCATTTTCATCTACTTCAATATCTCTACTGATTGTTAGCTTTTTTGTCTGAAGATTGTAGACTCGGTAACCTTTTGATTGTGAGTTGTAGCCCAAGAATATGCCTCGTACGGTCTTGTCTTCTAACTTTCTACTTAAGACATCCTCCAATAAGCAAAAAAGAAGAGGAGAAAGGGGATTCCTTTGGCGAACCCCTCGCTTGCAAGCCAAGTAATCAACAGAAGCACCATTAACACAAAATGCGAGACGCGCATATTGCAAAATAGATTCAATCCAATTACAAAAAGTTGAACGAAAACCAAAAGCCTGAAAAACTTGTAACATAAATTTCGTCAAATGTTTTCTTGATGACTATCTTTAACACCAAATTGCTACCAAAAACATTATGATATATATGCAATCAGAAATGTCTTCCTTTGATAAACTACAAGAAAATTGTCATATAGTGACATACACCCTATAGTGACATAATAAGTGTCACTAAAAATTACTTTTACCCACACAATAAATATAATATATGTTGGTATATTGTTAAAAAGTGTAGGTATATACTATAGTGACACTCAAAATATGTTGTTAAATCACTACTAGAAAAGTGTCATTTTCCTGCAAATTTTTCTACAAAAAAATATTCACAAAAAGTTTTTGCGAATTTTCCTGCAAAAAAATATTTGCAGAAATTTTTTGCGAATTTTCCTGCAAAAAAATATTCGTAGAAATTTTTTGCGAATTTATTTGAGAAAAAATAATTTACAGATATTTCTCACAAATTTTGCTACAATTTTAATAATCATAGAAATTTTTTTCATGGTAAAAATTTGCAGAAAATATTGTAAGAATTTTATTTTGTTTCTTGCAGATTTTCTTGTAAAAATAAATTCACAAGTAATGTTTACTAAATGGTAGAAAAATTTTGCAGGTAACTTTTCTTGTGAATTTTCTTGCAAATTATAATCCGCAAGAAAAATAAAAAAGTATTTAAATTTATAAGTTTAATATTTTAAAAAAACTTCAAGTCACACATCGATTAAAATTAAAACAATTAAAGAGTTTATAAGTTGGGGCAACACTTACCTTACAAGTTGATTTGTATGGTTGAGTGTTAGGCTTATAATCTACAATCATAGAATTTAAAAGATTATGTATCACATGTTAGAAGCATGGAAACAAATGTTTCGAATGAATTCATTGTGAGCATTTGAAAGTTGAAGAATTATTGATAGAATTTATAGTAATTTCTTTAATTTTTTCATAAAAAATATTTCTACAAAATTTCTTGCAAAAAAATTCGCAGGAAACTTTCTTGCGAATTTTCCTACGAATTTTTTTTTGCTGGAAACTTTCCTGCAATTTTTTTTTTTGCAGGAAACTTTCCTGCGAATTTTAAAATTCGCAAAATATATTATCCACGAAAGTATTACCTGCAGATAAAATTTCGCAGAAAAATTTGTAGGAACAATGTTTCCTGCGAATTTTTATGAAAAATTCGCAGGAAAAGTCGCATGTAATAAGAAAATTTCTAGTAGTGAATCTCATTCAAAATCAACACTAAAATTGTATGTAGTTATATGTTAAATAGGTATATATTGACATATATTATACTTATTTATAATAACACTTTTTGTATATCATTATATAGAATCTTTTTTGTAGTGATAAAACCACATGGTTGTTTGATATGAGCTTAGGAGAAACCAAAGTCAACCTATCAACAAGCACTTTGGTTATAATTTTAAACTAAAAGTTAGCGAGAGCTATTGGTCGAAAGTACCGCAATATCCGCACTAGGAAATTTGGAAAGAAGTGCAATTGGATTTGAGTTCAACCTTGGAAGAATCCAGCTTTGTTGAAAAAAAAATGGAGCACAAAGTTGTGCACATCAAAAGCAATAATATCCGGAAAAGCCTGATAAAAATAACCTCCAAAGCCATCAAGACCAGGTGCAC